TCTCCACAACTCTTTACTTTTTCTTCCTACACTTATCTTTCTCTCAGGTTATACCCCAACTTGTCAATGATCTGTACCTTCACCCTTCCTTCCATTTCTTATCCACATGAAGGCTACTTCAAATCTACACAATGTGGCATGTCTAGTTTGAAATAGACAAATTTTTCTTCTTGTACATGGATACAAGATGTCATAAATGCTGAGTGAAGAATGAATAACACTAAACCCACTGCCACGGAGTCGGATCTGACTCATAGCGACCCCTCCTTGAGTTTCTGAGGCAATATCACTACGGAAGTAGATTGCCCAACCTTCCTTCCAAGGAGTGGCTGGTGGGTTTGAACCGCCAGTCTTCTGGTTAGCACTCAGGTGCCTTAGGCACTACACCAACAGACAGATACATATATACCTTGGAAACCCAGTGGAGGTTGTTGTGAGTTGGAATTGGCTTGGTGGCAGTGGGTTTGGTTTTTATATACATATATATGTACCCATACATATATAAACATAAACACACACAGAGACACAACCCATATATTTTTGTATGTAAATATATGTTGTTGTTGTTGTTGTGTGCCATTGAATCAATTCTCACTCAAACTGAGCCCATGAGTTACTGGGTAGAATTGCTCCATAGGGTTTTCTTGGCTGTAATCTGTATGGAAGCAGACCACCAGGCCTTTTCTTCCATGGTGTTGGTAAGTGGGTTTGAACCACCAAACTTTCAGTTACTTCTTGTTGTTAGGTGATGTCGAGTAAATTTTCCACTCCTAGCCACCCCATGTGACAAAGTCGAATTTTCCCACAGAGTTCTGTAGGCTGTAATCTTTATGGGAGTAGATCTTCAGGTCTTTCTTCCTTGGGGTTGTTGGGTGAGTTAGAGCTACCAACCTTCCTGTTGGTAGCCAAACACATAACCTCTGGGCCACCAACATTCCTTTTTCAGTTCCTAGTTGAACACAAATTGGCAGGGTCAAACAAGAACCTTATATACATACATCTGTGTTATAATCTAGAGTGAGATCTATTTCCCACCACTTCTTTAGAAAATTTGGTCTTAGAAATTGTTCATATTAATTCCTCATCTACAACAAAGAGTTAAAAATAGTGCTTCCAGATTTTATATTTAGTAAATATCTTACTGAATCTTGAGATAACTCTCAGGGGAGTAAGTCAGAAGAGACAGCAAAAGAGATTCTTTTAAAAATATTGATTAGAACAATCATAGGGGAATAGAAGGGCTATGTATGCACAGGGACATATCTCAGGGGGCAGGAGTACATGGAGGGAAGGACACAGGGAAGAGGTAACTATGGGGAGGGAGAAGGAAGGAAGCTGTTGCATTGTGGTAAATTGTAGTCAATGTCATGATACAAAGTGTATGTGAACTGCTGTATGGAAAGTGAATTTGCTCTATAAACTTTCACCCAAATCACAATTAAAAAAAAATTATTGATTAATTACTAGTCCAAGCAACTGGTACACCATGCGATCCTCAGCCTATATGACTATGAGACTGGAAGAACTAGATGGTGCTTGGCTACCACTGTCAACCACTCGGAGGAAGATCTATGTAGGAGATCCTGGATAGAGTGGGAGAACAGTGTGGAACAAAGCTCAAAATCATTAAAAAAAAAGGGGGGGGGGACAGGTTTGCTGGTCTGATAGAGCTTCATGAACCACTGAGACTATGTCCTCTAGCTACCCTTCAGGCCTGGATTTGAACCCATTCCTGTGGCTTCCAGGCAAACAAAAGACAGACATATGAGCTGAACATTTCCATTAGGTAGATACGCTCCTTGGAGAGAACAATCACGGGAGAATAGAAGTGCTTGCATGTACAGGGAGACAGCTCAGGGGGCAGGAGTGCATGGAGGGAAGGACACAGGGAAGAGATAACTATGAGGAGAAAGTGGGAGGGGAGCTGTTGCATTGTCGGAAATTTCAGTCAGTGTCATGAGACAAAGTGTATGTGAGCTCCTGTATGGAAAGTGAAGTTGCTCTGTAAACTTTCACCCAAATCACAATAAAATAAACAAACAAACAAAAACCTATTGATTAATTAGGCCATGTACATTTTCATGTATCAAGGCCACATTAATGGTTGATCTTTAATGTTTCAAATGATAATAGCAGAAATGTTTATACCTCAGTTTTTAATACTTGCTGTGTATCAACATGTGTGCTTAGTATAACGGAAAAAGAAATGGCCTTGTCTGTTAGGGTTGATTTCCTCAATCCCAGCTTAGTTTTCTATGTAGATCTTCAAGCTCAGAATCCAACCCCTTGTCTTGCAATTTTCCTGCAAGTTTGAAATTTTACATAAGAGATGTTGGGGAAAATGCCCACTTCTTATCCCTATTTTTAATCCTCCTTATCTCTTATTTATTGAATAACTGGTGTGTATTGAGTGTCCAAACAACTAATCCTTGGAAGTTTCCTTAACTTTATGATGGGGAGGGGAAGATAGAGAAAAAGATAATATTGAGAGTCCCTCAGCTATAGGGACTCAAAAATAGGGGTGAATTCCTCAGAGGCAAAGAAGGGACCAGTGAGAACAGGAATCTAATAGCTAGAAAGCATCTCATTTGCTTCCCCAAAGACTTTGGTGTCTGCCAAAATATCTGACTACAAAGGCCACCCCAGAGCTCAGCCAATTTAGAGAGAGATGGCCAGAAAGGAGTTTGGGATGTGAACTTCCTCTTCTTTGCCAAACCCATGATGTGCAGCAGAGATCTCTCTCTTCCCAGTCTGGCTGCAGAGTGGACCTGGAGGAATGTGTCATAACAGAGTTCAAGGTCACCAACAAAAGACACACATGCTCTCCTTGTGCATAGACTAGTGCTTCACTCACAGAAGAGACAAAGTGAGATCAGATTAATAGGGGGCACAGGTCTCTCCTCACCCCCACCCCCACCCACGTATGGCTGGTCCAGGGCTCATGTCCTATGTCCACCCCTCTTGTAAATGTATTTGATTGGAGAGACCCATTCCTTCTCCACCAGGAGCAGATACAGAAGTGGCATTGGCCATGTACCATGTGATACCCCAACATGAGCAAAAGATATAGTTACTATGGGCCCAGAACAGGGAGAAGGGTTCTCTGACAAGGAGAAACTTGGAGAGACAATTCCTAGCCTCCTTATAAGAGAATGTTCTGGGCACACGGCCTTTACTTAGGTAGCCCGGATGGGAGGCGTGGAGGCAGACTGTTCCCCCGACAGAGTGTTGAAGCATCTGCAGCCAGCCCCCCACTGCATCGAGCTGTGCAGCCATGAACAGAGGACCTGAACCTTAGGAAGCCATTGGAAAGTGATGGGTGATGGGAGTGGGTGGGAGCGAGTGGGCACTGGGGGAACCAGAGGAGCCGTCCTATTTGAAAACACATATTGATGACCATGAACTCATTGTGTACTTCACCTCTGGTGGTCACCATGTCTATCAATATTCAATACAACCAACCAGACAGGCTCAATCATAGCTTCTCTTCAGTAAATGCTCCAGTTGTTTGGAGCAAAAATGGTTTAGATTAGCACCCGGGCACTCTGACAAAGGTCCGGAGGGAGTTAGAGGACTTGCCAACACCATTAGCATTTAGTTTTTCTTTTTCCAGCAGCACTAAAATGTTTGCTCAAAACAGAGACAGATGAAAAACTATTGGCAGTGAGAACCTCTTTAAAAAAAACAAAAAAGCAAAATAACCAAGTTTTACTTCTCTGGCAAACATGCTGGTTAAAACGATGCTATGTTGTGACAGATTACTGGGCAATTATTGCCTAATTGAGCAGTGCCAGAGGCCTCTAGGAAAGCTGCTTTCCTGGGGCTGGGGTGACCACACTTTCCCGCAGCCTTCCTTCAGCACCCTCCACACAGGGAACATTTTTTCTCTGAGTCTCCAAGGCCTACACTGGAAAGGTTAGCTTGACAGAAAGATCCTGACATTGAAACTCCTAATGGGGATTTCATACTTTTCTCATTTGTAAGCAAAATCCATTTTCCGTGAGATATTTTTAGTGCCAGCAGCCCCTGATGTCCTATTCTCTTACAGTATACCATTAGATCTTGAGGCCCTTCCAAGCAGCCCACGTGATTTCTAAGCATCTTGTCAGTTCCCTCCTAAGTGACTAGTCTCCCAGGAGTCAAATCCCAGGCTCTTAACTACCGAGGACCTCGGCACCCTTCCTGGAGCCTTGCATTCTTATCGATAGCATGATCAAACGCTTTAGAGCTGCGTTTTCCAAGAGGTCAGCTTGGCGGAGATCACTGGACGACCTCAGTGAGAGAGAGGTTTTGAGCCCCACAAGCCGCCTGTGTAAATATGAAAATGCATTAGGCTGCAGAGCTGCGTGTGTGGGAACAGAACAACCGTCGTATTGAAGGGAAGTCGCAGGGGAGCCCGGTGGCTCTCACGTGGGCTTGGTTAACGCGCGCATGCTTGTGAGCACTGTTTTGCTTCCGCGGCGTCCACGCTGCAAACCCGCTGATTTCATTTCTGGAACTTAGGAAAACCCCAATCACTTAGTGAGGCGCCTAGCAAGACTTCTGTCAGGAAGTGTTTACATCTTTAAACAACCATCATTTCACCTCTTTCTGCGATGCTCATTTGCCTGGGAATAATGTCCTGGGAAGCCAGACTTTTCAGGGCTTGCAATTGAAAAAGAATGATTTATCGGTGTCTGAGTTGGAAAGATATACTGATTCAGATCCCTGGAAGACAGTCATTGTGATGAACCGGAAACATGCTCTCAAACGGAATTGAGAAATGCTCTCTGGGCAGAATGCTGTGATATTCCTGAGTGTGTTCAGTTTCAATGGATCAAATCTTTCCCATCTCTGCATCCAAGCTATTTGGCCGTGATCAGATGATCAGAGCTCTAGGAAGTGATTGGAGAGCGAGCTGGCTGCAGCTGCAATGTAGGCTGTTTCCAGTGACAAGGAGCCACTGTTTTTCAAACATAGCATCAACATAGAAGTTACTTTGTCGGCTCCAGGATGCAGCGATGGGCTGCACTGCCAGCATTGTTCTGCTTCAAGCTTTGCGCTCTGTGGTCCGTAGGAGCTGTCCACACATCTGTAGACGACGCCAGGAGGAACCCTCCCACGAAATCGTGCCTCTGGAAAGCGACGATGAAATGAGTAGACCCAGAACCCTCATCATAATGGTATAGTATCCGTTGCTAAACAGCCTCAGTTGATTAAACTGTTTGTACAGAGAGATTGCAGTTTAGGGTTTCTGGCATTTGACTTCACATACAGAAATGTGTGGCTGAGAGTTGAGTCCTGTGTTTCGTTGTTTGGAGAAAATCTTCCTGAACGATTTCCATCACTCGAAGGGCTGGTTTTCTTTCTCTTTGAACTGTTGCAAGGATGTGGAGTTTATTGGCCTGTTCCCTTCTGCCAAATATTTCATATGCTGCTGTTAACTTACGTGGGGGGGGGGTGGTGTGTGTGAAAGAAATTTCGGAGTGTGGATTAATTGAGTGGATTTTATTTTATAACTGTAATTTGAAAAAAGAGCCAGAACAGTGATCTGTGTACCACGTGTATCCAATCAGGTGGCTGTAGGTGCTGGTGACTAAATGTCTAACTTCTGGATGTTCGCTTGGGGCTTTTGTTTCTGACTCCATAATGAAAAGTTCTAAGGGACCTCAGCATGAAATCAGAGTCAAGTATTGAGAATTGTGTGGAGCACAGTTTTTTTTGTTTTTTAATAGAGAGTTGTTTCTTTCCACCTGTCAAATTGCATCTTTCTCTGGGTTTTAAATATACTAGGCAGTGTGTTACTTCTCCTTTGTGTATCTATTTCATCAGCAAGAATACTTAGCTGCTTAGTGTCTTTTCTAACCTTAACTTTAGGGGGAGATCTGCTTAGTCACTGAAATGCCATCGTAGGCTGGAGTTAGCATGCTGAGATTTCCAAAGTAGGAGAGACACCAAAGTCTGGGTGGTTTCAGTGCCATGGGCGTTTTTTTCTTCAGTTTCCCTGTTCAGACATCCAGGATGTACTACATAATGAATGAAGACCTGTAACTCTAAAAGTTTCTAACTGAAACTCACTTGATTTGGTCTGTACCTTCTGAATGAATGATTACTGACCTGAAACATTCTATGCCACCTTTTCCTGCAAATCACTATTTGATTTTCAAAAAGCAATGTTTTTCTTGAACTATTGGGTAATGATGATCTATAAGAAAAAAATACTAAGTAGGAGAAATCTCACACCCATTATTTCGATAAACTTTGACAAATGAAATTTATAAAGGATTGGAGATTACATCAAAGAAATCTTTATTTACCAAGTTCAACTCTTATAAATGATATGAGCACAGTGTACAGCTATGTCTGTTGCTTGTGCCATATCAGCCATTCAATCATTTTTATTCTAATTTTATTAATTAGACTATAATATTTTGTAGCTAGAGATTTGAAAAAAAAATCTGCATTAAATTTTAAAGTAACTTAGAAATTAGAAAATCATGAGTTTACCTCACAACAGTATCTTATCTTTTCAAGGGTCCTCTTACATATGCACCCTTACTGACACTAGAGGAGGTGATGAAGAAATCACTGATGAAATAAATGGAGGTTCAGAAAGATTGAGTGTTTTGTTAATATCACATTAAATTAATTAATTAATTAATTAATTAATTAATATTAAATGTCAGAGGCTGGAATCACACTTAAATCAATGATTCCATGGCCAGTGTGTACTTTCCACTCTCTTCACCCCCCAAGGAAAATAATGATACAATGGCAAACTGAATTTTTATGAGAATCCTGTTGGGAATCTTGGACCACTCAGAATAAAATATGCTCAGACAGAGTCCTTGCCCTCTGGGCAAATTCCAACATTTACATACTCAGTAATGATTTATTGCAGGCCTACTCTGGGCCAGGCACCTCCTATTCTAGGTATTTGGAACCTGCCAATGCACAAAACTATCGAAGATCCCTGTCCTAAGTTGCCAAATTTTAAAGTGATAGCATATTCTGCAGATGTTGGTATGAAGGTACATATTTGGATTGTGAAGCTTAGTGTAAAAATTTAAATCAATGAAAATATTTCCAGCCTTCCAAGATGATGGTTTGAAAACTTTAATGTGTTTCAACGTCACTGAGAAGTTATTATGTCAGTCCTTGAACTTCTAAGCCAAAGACCCTGCATAACAGGATCTGGGTAGTGCCTGGGAACTCTACTTTTAGCGAGCATCCCAGGTGATTGTGATGATGGAGAAGCTTGGACCACATGATGAGAAACATTTCACTGAGAACAATCATCTAAACTCCTCATCCCCTTTCCTCCTTCAACCTGATGGTCTTATATTTGCTAAATGATTCCATCATCTTCTCACTTAATTCTAAGCTTCTGAACAGACTTTGATTATTTGTTTCTCTCATTTTCATATATCCACTAGTCACCGAATTTTGTGCATTGATTTTTTTTTTTTTGGTAAGATCATGGACTCTGGAGCCAGAACATCTAGCTTGGAATCCTCACTTCATCCTTTACCAGCCATGTGACCTTGGACATAATATTTAAGTTCTCTGTGTCTCATTTCTTCATCTTAAATGAGGATAATAATTCTATCAACCTAGAACTGTTGTTAGGATATGATGAAGTAATGTGTATGTTGCAAGCTTGAACGATGCCTGGATATATTAGTGAGATATTTTATAGGGACATCTTAACTGGGAAAAAAAAAAAGAAAGAAAGAAAGACATTCGAGGAAGGACCTGAAGGGGCAGAGAGTGAGCCACGCCAAGGCTCTGCAGGGAAATGTCTTTGGCAGAAGGCCCAGCTAGGACCAGAGCTTCCAGGCAGGAAGAAGCCGGGCATGTTTGAAGAATGGCAAGGAGGCCAGTGTGACTGAGCAAGCCAACAGAAGGGTAGTAGAAGGAAAGATGGGTGAGGTAATGGGAGCCAGAGCATGTCACACTTCACGGGCTGTCATTGCACTTGGACTCTTTCCAAGTCTGAAAAGGAAAGGCACTGGAAGATGCAGCCATTGAGGTTAAGGACATAGACAGTGGAGCCAGAATGTCCGAGTTTGGGTCCTAACTCTGCCATTTGCTAGCTGTGTGATTTTGACAAATGGCTTGTCCTCCTTGTGCCCTCATTTCCTCATTGGTAAAAGAGGGAGTGTAACAGTGTACCATGTAAGGTTATTGGCGGAACTGAGCACGTCTATACTTGTAAAGATCTTCGAACAGGGCCTGTTGGACTATTGTTGTTAGTTGCTGTTGAGTTGATTCCAGCTCATGGTGACCCCATGTGGGCAGAGTAGAATTTCCCCCTAGAGTTTTCAATGCTGTGATCTTTCAGAAGTGGATCACTGGGCTTTCCCTTCAAGGCACCTCTGGGCAGGTTTGGATTGCCAATGTCTCAGCTAGTAGTATAGTATTTAACTGCTTTCACCACCCAGGGACTCCTGGTGAATAGTAAATGCTATATCAACTGTAGTTTTGCCAGTTTGGAGGGTCTTAAGTAGAAGAGTGACAGCATCAATGGCTGCAGAGACTCAAGGGTTGAAGCAGAGAGACCATTTGCCAGGAATTTATTACAATGATCTCAGAAAAAGGCCAGGATGCTATTTGTTGAGGTTGTGAGAAATGGTTGCTTTCTGGATATATTTCAAAAGCAGATCACAGGGTTTGCTTACAAAATGAATATCAAGTCAGAGAGAAAGAGAAGCATTAGGGTTGACTGTACATTTTCTTTACCTGAATAACCAGAAGGACTAAATAGTCATTTATATGTGAAGGAACAGGAAAGAAAGTTTTCGTGAGAGAATCTAAAATTTCACACTCAGATATGTTAAGTTTGAAATGCCTGTTAGGTCTACACATGGAGGTGCCAAGCAGAAAGTTGAAGATATGAGTCTGGAGTTCTGAGGACAAGTCTAGAGAGGAGATATATTGCTTGGCACATTGTTACAACCAATAAATGGCTGATGAATGAGAAATGGCCCCTTTCTTCTAATCTCTGAGTTTGTAAATCCATTTGCCAGTTAATCATGTGTTACCTTCTAACATACCTTGAGATAGTTCATTGAACTTTTGTATGTTGTTGTTGTTATGTGCTGTTGAGTTGACCCTGACTGATAGCAACCCCTCCTTGGGTTTCCAAGGCGATATCAGTACAGAAGTAGATCGCCCAACCTTCCTTCCGAGGAGTGGTGGGGGGTTTGAACCACCAGCCTTCTGGTTAGTAGTCAAATGCCTTAGGCACTATGCTACTGTATATTAATATATTTTTCTAATATCACTGGTAGGTACAAAACTGCATATTCCTTTTCTGTTGTTGTGTACTGTTGAGTCAATTGCAACTCATAGCCACCCTATGTGCTGCTATTGGGTTTTCTAGGTGCTGATCTTCATGGGAGCAGATTTCCAGGTCTTTTTTCCATGGAGCAGCTGGATGAGTATGAACCACTAACCTTTCAGTTAGCACTTAACTGTTGCACCACCAGGGCTCCTTAAACCCACATATAGGTGCAGACTAAGGCTGCTGAATGCCCCAGTGATGCCCAGAACAGTTTTTTTTTTTTTTATAATAACTAGAAGCTGAATAAGTATTTGTTGTGATTTGAATTGAAATTAAGTAGTTGACAGTGATATGCAAAGCTTAATTGATAGAGCTGCCCACTTAATCATTAACTGAAATGTCTACAAATAATAAAAATGTAGAAATCTACCTAGGGAATACAAGGGCTTGTCTTGTTGATATTCCTCCAAAGGCTTTGGCACTTAGGATTTCATTATGGAAGTTTGTGCCAAGGACTTTTATTCCTGTAGCACAAGTTGTGAGTTTTCTTGCAGAGATAAGCTTTGGGCTGGCATGATTGTCGTTCAACTGTGTAGTACAAAGTGGAGAGACCTGTTCAACAACAAAAGTAAGTATTGCAGATTCTTGGCACTTACAAGGTATATGTGAATCCTTATATCTGAGGCTATTACAATGGTCTGCTATCAAGATGTAGTCAGAGTTAACTGGAAAAAAAGTAAGAAATCCCTTCAAATCTCCAATTTATCTCTCACACATCAATGCTTACTCTGATGAGAGACTTAACAGATACCTTCTTCTGAGTCATTTTTTCTTAATTCCTTCATAGCTAATTATGTTGAAGGCCTTAGATAGTAATTCTTATAGATCCACTATTTT